CAGCACAATCGGCTGCCCTAAGTGAAGGCAGGCTCGACCGAGGCCTACAGGCCATTTTTGGGGTCACCACGCAACTGGTGAAATTCAGGCAGTTGCGCAGCGCCAGTTGGTTGAGAGCGCCCAAGCCCTGGCTGCCTCTTTTGTATGTCACTGAGGCAGGCCTTGGGCCAGATTCGCTACATGGACCGAACACAGGCCGCGGGCAGTTAGACACGGGCAACCACCACAGGCCCAGGGCCTGATTTGTTTGGACTGGGGCTCAGCCTCTCTGGGCCTACCGGAAGCTTCTGGGCAACGGCCCAGCACAGCCAGGCTGCGAGCAAGCAGGCAGGCCACTTCCATTTAGGAAAGGGCCTGCCCATACATTCGGCATTCGGGCACTGGCTGCATGCTGCGCTAACGCTGGCCAGCGCTCACGCGCTCACGGGCGAGCTAAAAGGAGCAGGCAGCCATACCCGACCGCACTGCTGTATGCTGGATGGGGCGCATGGTGGTTCTTGGGTGCATGTGGCATCTGTGAGTTGGGGGTCGAGGTTGTGAGTGATACGAGAGACATACCTGGTGCTTGAGGCGAACGGCATTGGCCGAGATCTGCTCGTACTTCGAGGAACTGTTGACGTCATCAGCGGCATTGTAGATAGGATCTGCCATCTGTAGTCTGGGCGCAGAGCGCCAGATAGGATATCGACATTGGTTCTTCGTTGATGATGATGAGACTATTCCATCATTGTCAATTATGAGATTTTGTTGTGCTCTTATTTGGTGGAACTCGTGATGCAATTCTGCTATTGGTTCGAGGTCAGGACTATCTGGTCTCATGTGTATGATGCTGTTCAATTTTTGAAGTTCGCTATCGCTCATTTTCCTTGCAAATTGGTATCGGAGTTGTGGTACGTTGCGCTCATTTGGCGCTTGTCTTCTGCCTATGCGGTTCATGCATGCGGTCTGCTGGGCGAGCGACCGTAGTGAGTGTGTAGTGAGGGCGAAGGCAAGCAGGCGACCCAGGAGGAGAGGGGATCGCCAGGAAGGCTATGTGGTGAATATTGGGTGTTCGCAGTGTGATTAGAACTATCTGATGTGCGATTGATGCTGAGGTGGAACGGCGGTATTAATGCTGGTTGTGCCGAAGCAGCGATTGGTCATCACAATCAGCATCAGGTCAACTGGTGAGAATATTTGTGGTTGGGGGCAGCTATTTTCAGGTTCGTTGCACCTAACCTTATCTACCCTCTTCGACACTTCTTACCGTGAGGATGTGTTATGTCTTGAGAGTCCTCTCATGTGAGGAGTCGAGTGCGCACAACCTTGAGAGTCGTCACTGTTCACGTGGAGCATCTGGAAGGAGAGGGCGGTGCAATCTGAAGGGCCCTGGACGAAGCACTGGGTCACGGTCACCATGCCAACCCACCGGGAGTAGAGCACCCATTCTTTGCTGCTTTGTCCTTTGTCTGCTCGCTGCGCTATAGAGGGGTTCTGAGGGGCAGGCCAGCCCTATGGGAAAGACGAGTACCGGACGTCTATAAATAAGTACCGGCGGGGACCTTCCATTGGCTGTGATCGTCATCCTGTTTGCGACGTTAAATAATTCCTGAGGACTTCGGGGGCCGTCCATAAAAACGCCTCCTGATCGACCAATTGGTCGGTGCAAGGCCCGCTGCACGCGAGGATAAAAATTGTGCAGGGCTGGCCAGCTTGGTAGGACTCAGGGCACAGGGGTGGGCCGTGTGCACACCTTTAGACACGCACACTGTCCGGATTGCTCAGGGACGCTGCCGACAAGAGACATCCAGGAAGAACTGAGGGAGGGGTAGATTCCAGGTGATAAGTTTGGGAAAGATTCCACTCTGCAAACAGACCCAACAAATGATTTTGTTTTCATTTTTGACTAGTTAGATGTACAACCATTAACATCTGACAGACAACATAGTTAGAATTGTTTTTTGTTCATTGTGCTTTCTGTTTGTGAACTAGTCAAAGTCAAGATAGTTTCGTTTGTAGGAATCTGAACTTACCTCTTGGACCCAAATGTATATACTCTGACTTAGCCCCCGATTAATTACTTTTAATTATTTTAAATTGGTCTATGCATTACGCTGCTGTAGGCATTAAGTGTGACCTAGTGTAGACGGTGTATAGTTAAGTAGCTTATGAGCTACAGGGAGACCACTCGCGAGGACGACAGGATCTTGCGATCGGCTAGACGCCTGATAGCCCACGTGGCATTAGGACCCGAGGGTGACAGGTGACTGTTCTGCCATCTTAGGGAGAGACAGCAGCAGCAACGGAGAGCTAGGGCGTTCGCAAGCGAAGCCGCAGCTTCAGCAGCCATGGCAACTGCTGCGCAGCAGAGTTCCCACGCTAGCAGTTCGGGAACCGTAGGGTCAACGGTTGCGCAGACCCTGAGTCAGTCCATTGGCGTTATGGCAAGCCAACCCATAGTGTTGACTCCCGATGAGGTCGCCATACAGCAGGCAGCGCTGCAAGAGGCACAGCTACAGAAGGCTCTAGGAGAGATAAAGGCAAAGAAAGAAGAATGATTAGAAGAAGAGCAAGGATGCAGCGGAGACAAGCGGACGTTAGTGAGTTAGAGGGAATCGACCTGACGCACATGGATGCAAATGTGAGGATGTTGCGGACAGTCCTGCTAGGTGTAGTAGAAATGCAGGACCACCACACGACTCTCCTTCAGAACATCCAACAGAGTCAGGCCGTTCTGGTCGGGCGAGCGCAGGCAGGTCCATTGCCGTCCGGGCCCGGTGCCTGGCCCGTTGTACATCCTCCTCCTTTTGTCCCACCGGTGACTGGGGTATCCCCATATGTCTCCCCAGCATCGGTCCAAGCCGCTTCCCTAGGTGTGTCGTTAATAGGAGGGTTCTCAGCAGGTCCTAGTGTGCAGATTCCTGTACAGACAGTGTACTCCCAACCTCCGTTGCAGGTTGCCGTGACAGGGCAGCCTGCTGTCTCGCAGCCTGCACAGCCGCAGGGCACACAACCCCAGCAGCAGCTAGTGCAGCAGCCTAGTCCCCAAGGTCCACAACCTGGAGTGGGACAGGTACCGGGACAAACCCAGTGGGTTCCAAAGACAGCCATCGCCTCTCCCAAACCTTTTTCAGGGGACGAGGGGCGAAGACCTCGACACATGGTTGACGTCAGTGCCTGTCTATGTCAAGTGTAAACTGACCTTGCCGCACGAGGAAGTGCTTGTGGCTGCCTCCTATTTAGAGGGGAGTGCAGCAAGATGGTTGAGTAATTTAGTGCAACTACAGGGACACGGTCATGACTTCGGCACTTGGGCGGTCAACCAGAAATTGGATGACTTCCTTAAGCAGGTGGAAGACAGGTGGCATGATCCTCAGGACGCTCAAAAAGCCACTGATGCGATCCTGATTCTAAACCATAAACAGTTCAAGTCAGTAAGAGAGGCCACAGATGCAGTAGAGCGTCTGATCTGTGTCCCTGGGATGCGCTATGACCCATAGGTTTTACTCACCTCCTACCTGCGATGTTTCCCTATGCCTCTCAGGAATCAGTTGGCAGGTGAGGCCAACATCAACACGCAAAACTTCCCCTCGTTCAGCAAGAAGGCCCTAGACCTAGAGGCGAAGATAGGGCATGGACAAACACCCACAACGGATGGTAGGAAAAAGTCACTGCCTCCCAACTGGAAGGCGAGGGGCCGCATTATGTTCGTCGACAACGATGGTTCTACCATCGAGTTGGAAGGCGATTTCCGGGCGGGAGTGGGTTCAGAGGCGGGCAGCGTAGAGGCTTCAGGGGGTGGCGTAGTCGCAGCCTCAGTC